GATACATGCTCGGTGAACTCCAATGTAACAGAGATTTGCACATCAACCGCAAGATTAACCGGTGTTACGTATGCACACCACGAACAGGTGTTATTTACCGACTATTGCCATAATTTATGGAGCGGCGGAACGCGTCAGGTGAATGGTGAGAGATAAGATAACGCCAGATTGGCAATATTAATTCTCTTTCGGGCTGTTTGATCGCTTGAGAAACTGTCCATCTTTCAGAATGATCGAAAATTTGCTTTTCCAAGACTTAGGTGTGTTGATATCAAATTTTGAAAATGATCAAGATATTCAAGATTTTACAGTAATATGAAATTTTGAAAATATTACGTCAATATGAAATTTTGGAAATTCTGAAATATTACATTAAAATGAAATTTTCAAAATATTATATCGGTGTTTAAAAAATTGACAGATCCACAGTATTGGAAAAGCTACGACACGCGTGCGTAGATCTGAATACAGCGTAACAATCGATCGAAGGATTACGACAGGTTGAAAAGCTCGATTACCTTTATAACATTTTATGTTTCACCATTTCTGACAGAAGAGCACAATACTTTTTAAATCAGCTTTTTATTCCCTGCACTTGGGTATATAGATTGCAATTTTTTTCTCTACTTTAGATTGCTTTCGATCGGTTGCTTACTCAAACGTGAAAATAGCAATGGCGTTGAACTCCCTCTGTTCATTATTATACTAGGTCGTCGGCTAAGTTCGCGTCGCGAGTAGCTTATACTCTTCATAATGAGTTTTTTATTTCGAGTTACCTTCGACAAATGGAACCATTAATTCAAACGTGTACTGTGCTCGATAAAAAAAAGAAATTAAAAGAGGCAGTATCTCTTAAATCGAAGGGAAGTGATTTTTCACCGCGATAATGATATCAGAGTGCAAGCATTTTTAATTAAGATTCTTCGTTTGCATGTGTGAACGTGATAGGTGTTCCAATTCTTATGAACAGCAGCGGAGGTAACTGTTGCTAGGAGGTAAGTAACGTTGGTAGGAAATTGGGGTGAACTGAAACCTAAAACATATTTTAATTACTATTGGACGCGGCTCTAATCCGGAAGCCTCGAGTAATATTTCGAGCAATCCAGGCCGTGGAAGCCTAAAAGTGCTCATTAGGAAATGTAATATAGAACAGGGCTCGATTTCGTGCTACAGGTACAATAAGTTTCATATCGATTTGTTTGAATCAATACTTACGAAGATCTATTCATTATTACTCTAAATCAGTGATTTTCACAGATATTACCATCTACCGTCATTCATTTAGGGGATTAAACCACCCCTGAGGCCTGAAAATGATACCTAACTTTGACACTTTTTTTTAAAGAAAATAATTAACTCGACGAAAAACTTTTCCTAAGAATTTCATTACACTACCCCAGAAGAATACAAAAGTATTTATCCGTTTAATTTTTTTACAAAATGGAGACGCGAAATGTACATTACTTAAAATATAATAGAAACGCCATAATCGAGTTATTTCTCGATAGAAAGTTTCTCGACAGAAAACCACAACTTTCGCACATACTTGGGTAATTAAGAATGTCAAATTAGGAAATCTAGTAACATTTTCAGACAAGTGAACGCGAACTGATTAACAGAGGGAAAATTCGAGCGCAAATGGCGAGAGTAGAGGGATATTGTCCGAGTGATAACGCGGTTCCTGTAATACTGAAATATAATCCTCAATCGTGCCAAAACCATGACATTTCGAAGCGACATATAGCCTCTTGCTAAATTAAATGTAACGCGGTACGGGACAGCTTGATGGCCATGGAAATAAAAATGATCGCGCTATTATTCACGCGCCGCGACATTATCGCCTGAATTTATCACGTTCGCCATTAATCTGTGTACAAATATGATTACTCGAAACTGGGAGAATCGCAAAGATCGGCTTATCCAGGTGTAGTGTCGGGGCGTCCGTACCCAAACAGGAAACCTCTAAGGGGCAATAGAGAGGGAGTGGTTGGCGTAGCGTGCAAAGCCTCGACTTGCTAATCCGAAGGTCCCGGGTTCGATTCCTGTTGAATCCCTCAATATTTGTCCGTCGGTTCCTACAAATCGGGGCTCGTCCGGGATGGAGGCATCTACAGCTGCACGAAGCCCAGGCGCTGTGAGATGAAAAACATCTCGAGGGTTGCACGTCTCCCAAAAATGCGTTGTTTCGGCTGTGTGCCACTGTGTGGGGGAGTGTGACCGAAAGTGTTGAGTTGTGTTGCACTGAGGACATTCGAGGGCGAATGTCAGTTCAGAATGGCCGAGTGTAGTATCGGGGCCTCCGTACCCAAATAGGAAACCGACAAAGGAGATTAGAGAGGGAGTGGTTGGCGTAGCGCGCAAAGCCTCGACTTGCTAAGCCGAAGGTCCTGGGTTCGATTCCTGTTGAATCCCTCAATATTTGTCCGTCGGTTCCTACACAGGTAACATCAAATTTTCGGTACAACGAACGAGTTGTTCCATCGTCGAAAGGTGAACCAAATATCTAATATATTTCACGAGGAGAATCAAACGTTGGAAGATATTTACCTTTAATCTCCCAAGGATTTAGATATTGTAAAATCAACACAGATGATCCCCTGTATCTCAGCAAATTTGTACTCGGAATAATTTCCATTTCTAATGGAAATAAACAGATTCGAAGCTTCGACCTCTTGACATCGAGCATCCGTAATTCCGATCGCCTTTATGCTTTTTCCAATTTTCCGCAGTGGATATCAGCTCTCGTTCGAACCTCGTACTATTTGCTCTTGTCTTCGTCTCGTTAATATTAACAGATAAACGGCTGTTCGTATTTTGATTCTCAACAAAGTGAATATTCGCTGAATGACAGCGAAAAAAGAAAAGGAAACTTTTCGAAACGGTCGTTCGAGGCCTGTAGAATTTCAATGGGAAAATTGTTTGACGTGACCGACTTGACTACTGTTTAACCGTCGCGTTTATCAAAAAGCGAAACGGTTGTTCGGGGAACGCAGGAAGAAAATCTCTGCTCCTGGCGTTGAAATAAGCAGAATGTTTAATTGGAACAATCGTTCATCTGAACAGACTTCAACCGCGAGTAATTAGATAGTGGAATTAAATTATTTAGAATATGGGAAACAGCAAGTGGCGAGATACATAGGTAAATGTGTAAAGTAAATTGATATTATCGTTTCGATAAATTGCTTGAATAAATGTTACTGTTGCGTCCTTGTTGCGGTCGTTGTAAGTTAATAAACTGAATCATTTTGTAGACACGCAATGTAAATTAGGATTAATTAATGTTCCCAGTAATTATCTGATACTGCAGCTACGTAAGTATGCTTCTGTTTATAAGTACAAAGACACTTGTTCAATGTGAAACGAACCTAAATAGTCATTACAGAATTATTAAGATCCTGAAGAATATTTATCAGTCTGGAATTTCATGATACAACGACTAAAGTAAAAAAATTCTAAAAGTGTGTCATTGTTTATGTCACACCAAACGTTGACACGAAATCGAGTTTGTTGTTATTCGTTGAACTTGCCTCCATTTTTCATACAGTATAAAAACAATTACAGCTATGGAATAACCAGTTAACGTGTTCACCTTTCAAACAGAAATTGAATTTCTCTAGTTTATAATTAAAAATCAGTAAGAGTAACAACCAATTACTTCCTTTCCGTTTTTGTAAATGTGAATACGATGTATTTTACGTTCGATAAAGGCACGGCAGTGCAATTAAAAATGAGTAATCCCTCGATAAATAAATTACTGTGTTCTAAATATTGACTGACTTGTGACGAGTTAAAAAAAAATTCGATACACGAAAACCATTGCGAGTTGAAAAAATCTATTCAAGCTGTCGTATTGTGTGTAAAAAAATAACGAAACTTTGCCCTCTTCTATTTTCCTCACGAATCTACCATTTACGAGAGAAACACTGTATATTTTTTATCGATATGTGATACTAACTTCGTGGAAAAAATGTAGTTTAAATAATGCAATAGTTTCTGTGCAAAGGTAACAGGTGTCCTGATACTTGTGAACGAGAGGGTAGGTGTATTCAATTTATTCTTCTTTTGTTATTGAACTCAAAACAGACTCTTCACTCTACTCTCTGCATTGATGGAACAGAATCTTTTTATTGTTGCCTACTTTTTTAATCCGTTTGTAACGAGAAGTAGCAATCTTCAAAAGCAACTGAAAGTAAACGAATAGTGAAAGAAAATATGAAATCTGATAGGGATTCATATTTTTCAAATTAAGAAGAATTAATATTTTTCAAAAAATAATCTTTCCACTGATAATATGTGGTTCTCTTATAGAGATTCGATATTCCTTCTCAGTGTTCATTTATTTCATTTAATTAGAATTAATATTTTTCAAAAAATAACCCTTCCATTGATAATACGTGGTTCTCTTATAGAGATTCGATATTCCTTCTCGGTGTTCATTTATTTCATTTATTTAGAATTAATATTATTCAAATTAACAAGAATTAATATTTTTCAAAGAATAAACTTTCGACTGACAATACGTGGTTTCGTCACGCAAATATGTAGGTATTTACCCTTCGTATCAATTTCACAATAGTTTCCGATTTCCTTATAAAACCATATTTTGTTTTATGCTTATGTTTTTGGCTTGCCAAGCCAAAGGTCCCGGGTTCGATTCCCCGGGGTTTGGGTGTTTCAAATTTTTTCCGTCAGTTCCTACAGTATAACAAATACAGTAATTAAGAAATCCAACAAAAGTTTATTTGTTACTGAAAAAGGAAAACAGGTAATTCTCCTTGGCGAACAAAAAAAGAGATTAATCCGTATAAACAGAAATCCGTGTTGAACTTTGTTTCTCGCCGACACGTCACTCCCTTTGAAAAGTCTCGCGCGGAGAGGAATTCTCGAACGAATCGAAGAAAATTGGTCCCTTCGACTTCGTCTAGCATGCGAATTGTTTTTCTAACTTTCCGAATAATCTGCTTGTTGCAGGTCAGAATGTTCTACAAAGGAGGGCCGCGATGAATACGGATGATCAAGCAAATCGCTCGTTCGAGAGCCCGCTGGGTTTCCAAGTATGGAACCTAACGAGCCCGGAGGAAGAGATCAATTGCGACTACTTCGCGGGAGCGCACAGCATCTTCTCCACGAATTGGTTCCGTGGCATCATATGCTTCTTATACAGTGCCGTATTCGTGGTCGCGTTAACCGGAAACGGGCTGGTCTGTTACGTGGTGCACAGCAGCCCCCGAATGAAAACCGTCACGAATTTCTTTATCGTGAACCTCGCACTCGGTGACATCCTGATGGCCCTTTTCTGCGTACCAACCAGCTCTATCAGTACACTGATACTGCAGTATTGGTCGTTCGGACCAGAACTGTGTTCTGCAGTGATTTACTTTCAGGTGCGTTTAACGATTTCTGCGTTTCGATTAATTGAGAGAAAGAAAGAATCGGAGAGTTTGGGGATGAAGGTGGTGTGTCACATTTTTGGGAAAATTGAGTTACTTGGTTGGTAATTAAGTTCGCGACCTTAACATTTTTTGAACAAAATTGAGAGAGAAATTTTGTGTTGAAATAATTAATATAAAATTAAGAGCTTGCGAATGATATAGAGATCAATACAAATAGTCAGCAAATAAGTTTGTTATGAATAAAAAAAGAAGTTGCAAAGCATAAGTTAGTGAATTTAGTTGCCAACCTGATATTTAATAAGTGAAGATTGTGTGAGGGATTCTTTCACAAAACTTTCACAAGAGTGATTTGTTTAATGGATAAAGGTGTTATAGCTATGTAAAGGATCAGTAACTTGACAAAAAGAAAATAAGAAGATATTGATAAAAATGACCCATTAGCAACATTCCAAAGGTGAACCTTGATGTAACTTAAAACGTGTTTAATAAATTAAGGATACTAAAGCGTAGGAATAATTTTGACATTCCAATATCAATCTATTGATTAAAAAATGATCATATATGTAATATAATACTTTTATCCTCTGAACCCCTCAATTAGGAAGATGCATATCTCTTCAGAGGGTAAACAGTGGGTGAACAGTAATACCGAAGTAGAGAAAATTGTCGTAAAAAAAAGAATTCAAATCTTAAGAATGTTATATTACCAACACTGAGTCCATTCATTTATTTGTATTTTAGAATTTCTTGATGAAGAAATACTTGTGAAACAAGTTGCTTTTCGAAGATAAACGTTAATACGTACATAGCGATTTATGATTCTCTTTCACAAAGAAGAGACGTGAAAAATGCCCAGCACAATACGAAATAACGAAAAATTCTACAAACAGAATAAACTATTACATCTGTTTTTCCCCTGTTACTCTATTCATAATACGAAACGACTAAATAATTACTAAAATTTCAGAGAGTGGACGTGATTTTTGCGAGGTTATACGGCTTTGTGAAATAATTTCGCGAAATGTCAGGTTTCTCTGTTCCACGAAATTTTCACACCTTGCACTCGTTTCCCCGAGCATGCTAACGTTAATCGAGTAAGTTCGGAAAGAAAAAAATTACTGTCACCCTACAATCTCCGCGTCGGGTACTTTTCCCCTTGATTGACATAACTTGATAATCTCTTCTGCAAAAGTCGCGGCAACGGTAGATGCAACTTTTAACAAGAAGCGTTCTAACTGTCCAATGGTAATTTCGATCGCAAACTTTGCCGCTTTACGAAAGAAACTTTGCGAAAGTTATACAAGAAAGAAAAATAATAATAAAAAAAGGAAACAAACGTATACTGCTTTTAGTTACTGTAACTGAAGCATAAGAGACGAAAAGAAGTATCCTTCGACGTTTTACCGTTTTCGTGCTGCTTTCGAAACGGTCGAAAGTGTAGAAAAGTTTCTCAGACACACAGATTTCTGATCGTATTTCACTTGAAATTTTCGATGCCGCGTGTAATGCACTTTTCGAAGGAAAATCAACGTGAAATATCGAGGCACTTTTCACGAAACTTTTCATAACGTGTCGATAGCGTGTATTGGTTATACCGTATTGGAGAAGAGCTGTAAAACCTTCGTTCGATAAATTTTTTAACACATTAACACTAAAATTACCGACTGGGTCAAAATGACCCATTAGCGACTTTCTAAAAGTGAATGTAAGTAAACCGTGATTGGAAAATTCGATTCATACCGATACAAATGGAAGCATACATGTAGAATATAAATTCGGAAAGTTACAAGCGATAATACTTACCAGTACAGAGCATTCGCGTTTTTTCGAAAGATGCTAATGGGTCATTTTGACCCGGTCGGTAGTTTTAGTGTTAATGAGAGTAAACTTTTGATAACACTTTCCTCAAACTTTGTTCCGTGATTATGTTAAATTATGGTTCCGAATGTCAAAAACGTCCGCAGTCCCTTTAAATGAAAATTAATTCAAACTGTAATTACTAATTTCAAAAAACGTAAATTAAATTCAATTAAATTATATACACAGAATTAACGCTGTTGTAAATCGTTGGCAAAGACGTATCGAACGTTATAGCAATTGTTTCAAATAAGAAAGGTTAATTTTATTAAAGTTACACGTAAAACCGCGGCAACTTTCAGGACAACCCGACGACAATGTCCGCAACATCTTCAAATGAAAGTCAATTAAACCTACCTGTCCCGTATTAATTACCCCTTAATTACCCCGCCAAAACGGCAGGATTTCGCTTTAGCCTCGTCACCTTTTCGAGCACTTTCCTAATCCTTCTACGCGGTGAATCGCAATCGGTCAGCAGCGAATCGTTCGACGTAATTTCATTGAATTAAGCAAAGGCAGTTATCCAGTTGGAGCAGCTGCACATGAGGACAGGGAAATGCAGTTTCAGTTAGGATGACGTTATTAACAAGCGTAATTACTTGCCACTCGGAGACAAGGTATCCGGCTATCGAAAGCGGGGATAATTTATCAGCTGAAAGAGCGGCCGCCAGCAGTTGGCCATTGAAAAGCAAGTAGGCGTTCGCGTATATCAGCAGCCCCTCTACTTTTTCGACCGACCATTTAGTATCGACGTCTCGTTTATCAAACGTGAAGTCGGGTTAGACGAGCTCGAACAATTCCGATCGTCAACAATTTTAATAAATTGCACGTGCCGGAAGTATTACTCTCGACCGAGAAAAAAAGGTCGCTCTGGCTCGTTCAATCGGACGAGAACGATCTGTTTTGACGTATCCGTGCTTCGAAACAGTTTTACCGATTTTCGCGTATATTTACTTATTCTTTTTTTTTTTGTCCATTTTGCCCCTCATTTTTTCCCCGATACTCCATGAACCCTGGCAAATGGAGACAAAAGCGGCTTATACTTGCCTCTCCCTTTATCCATCCGGTGAAAAGAAAGAGAGTATGCGGAGGGAGACGCCAAGGGGGAAATAACGATCAACTTTGGATCCGCTGTTACATTTTTTAGAGGAGCAACTTCGAAGCTATTTTCGAAGGGGAGCGTCAGAGGTGGCATTTTTGCTGGTCGAAATTAGAGGGGATAACGAGGGAGGAGAACGTTGCTGGGAAATAATTTGCCACGCTGTCCTATAAAGAGCCGGGGAGAGGGTGAGAATTTAAGGGAGGATTTATGGCAAGTCAAACTGAAAGGCGAACTGTCGTAGAATTTATAACAACAGAGCATCCTTGTAATATTCTTCGTCCAGCAGAGATGTAATTGTAATCAAAGAGACGCGAAACAGTGAATAATGAAAAATGAGAGAATGCACGGTGATACAAAGCAGAAATTGTAGAACCAAGAAAGGTACGGAAATGCAAAACACGTGAGAAAAGTTTAGTCGTGTATACTACTCTGTTGAAGAAGTTCCAGGACAAAGTTAATAAAATACGCGTTATTAAAATTTAAACTGTAAATGTGTATTTCGTGTTCAAGTTAGTTCGAACGATTTTGGTTTCTGGCAAGATAGCAAGTGGACAACCTTTTTTCCCCAGCCTTGAAAAGTGAACTTCTGTGAGAACTGTAATTTAGAGTGTTTAAGGATGTTACATGAATTTTTTCAGATTTTTTGGAATACCTTTGCCCACTGAAAAATGCATCAGACGTGGAGGATCCATATAAACAGTTTAAGCGTAAATACAGTTTACGTGTTAATTTATTCAGCAGTGTTCATTGATCGCCTAAAAAGTGTACTATAGCAAGTTCCTCTTTCTTCACTCTAATCTGTACAAATTTGTAATCAGACAAAATTTCAACTGTTGTAAGAATATTTAATTTGCACTAACCTAATAGTTTAAACTATTACACGTGCATTCGCTGAAACAGTTTTTGAAAATAGGAATGAAACAATCGATGCGTTATCGTGGTGCAAAAGTCATAAATAATTTTCTTACAAATTTGGCAAACGTCTCAGGACACCCAAGTATTGTAGTATTATTTATTGACCAGTCGGTAGAGATTCTTCGTGTACCACAAAGTGGAAGTCCTGAAACTTTTTGAAGAAAGTAGTGTTAGTTCGTCAAACTTGAGAAACCTTGATAAAAGCAATCGCCTGTTGCTCGTGCTACGTGTTCGAATACCTTGCAGTTATTCGTTTCTGCATATAAATGTTTTACGAAACGAAACAGTGTACTTACTGCCTTCCTTAGCTAAATTGTCCTAACTCACATTTCGAAACGTCTGAGAAAAATAAATTTTTATCTAATGAAACCATCTGAAAAGTATAATAGTTAGGACAGATAAATTAAAGTTAGAAATTAAATTAAATTAAAGTGTTTGTAGATCTCTATAAAACATGTAGAACATGCTAATTTTGTTGAAAATGTAAAAAACATGTTGAATTTCAAAAATTTCAGAATATCATGAGAAATGGAAAAATGGTAGATAGAACGTTTTAACTGAGGAGGGCAGTGTACTTCAATAGCAACTGACACGAAAAGGAAACGTTCAACGAGAGAGAAAAAAGTGGAAGAGATACGCGAAAGCTCAAACACAGTTCATGCTTTCATGCTTTTATGCTAAATATTTCAAACTCTCGTGTAGGTAAATGTCGTTTCATTACACGATAATCCTTTAGCACATCGGATTTTCACGTATAAAAATTGGAATTTTTAGTAAAACGAAGATTGAATTTCTATTGGAGAAAAAAGCTGAAAGTTACATTTGTAATTTCTGAAAAAATTGAAACTTTTCGGTCGGCAGTTAGCTACGAAAAAAATTCCCAAGGTTTACCCATTTTCAAACGCCTCGGGGTGGCGAACACCCCTAAACAGAGACACGAGCTTGATAAAACGAACGACTAGGTAAAGATTTGAAGACTAGATAAAGGCAAAGGTTTGTTGAAATGACAGAATCGAACGCAATTCTGTGTTTCATCTCGTATGCAGTCGCGATATACGCGTAAATTCCTATCATTCCTGTTTTAAGTTTCGACCGCTCGTGGTCGTTATCTCCCTCGTTTATCACGGAATTCTTGTAATCGTGTTACGATAACACCGACGGAAGTTCTCTCTTTGCCGAAACTTAAGCCTTGATCCTCGAAATACATACATCGGTGACCTTTGATTCCGCATCAAACCGTGATACCGCAACGATTACGTCCTTCGGGCAACGGTTTCCAGTTTAATACAACATCTGTCATTTCTAGAAGGCATAATTATTGATTTTTGATTGCTTGAAACATCAGTATTGTGTTGTAAAGGAATTTTTTCTTTCTGAGAATCTCCACGACTTAAGTTTAATTTCACAAAATATTCTTAATTATTCCTTATAATTTTTCGTTTTCACAGTAAAATGCATCTTTGATCATTCCAAGATATGGCTCTATGAGAGAATCGCCGATTATCTTTTTCTAAAGCGTTAGATGAGAAACACAAAACTAGTGGTAGAAATGTGAAACGAGAAATCAATGATAAATGGAAATATGAAGATGTAATGCAGAAAAATATTAATTTTCAGGCGGTATCGGTATTGGTGAGCGCGTACACGCTCGTTGCTATCAGCATAGATCGTTACATTGCCATAATGTGGCCCCTGAAGCCAAGGCTGAGCAAACGGCAAGCTCAACTTCTAATTCTCGCTGTTTGGATGCTTGCTCTGGTAATATCACTCCCAATTGCTGTGGTTTCAAGGCTAACGCAGCCCTCGTTGCAGTACGAAAGATGCAATCAATATATTTGCGAAGAAGTTTGGCCATCGATGGAGAACAAGTAATTATTCATACTTAACTCTATCTTCTTAATTAAACTATGTACTTAAAAGTGTCATGATAACTTTGAACAAGTTGTAGTGACTGACGAATTGAAAATTACAGAAATTTATTTATTACAGAAATCTAATCTGCTCTATTTAGCTAAAATGTCCTTTCTGCCAATTTTTCACTTTTTCAGGATATTTTAAAATGTCCTCTATGCTTTTTCAAGCCCTAAAATTTAAAGCAAAAATTTTTTTTTAAATATCCTCTGTGCTTTGTAAGGTCCTAGAATTAAAAACAAAATTTCTTTAAATGTCCTCTGTACTTTTTAGGGCTCTAGAGACAGTTTAATTTATTTGACCTAACTGTTTTACACATAATTTTACTATAATAGTATTTAGTTCACTTTTCTCAAATATTCGAAAATTTTGGTTAGGACATTTAAACTAAGGAGAGCAGTAATATCATCCATGAAATCAACGTTACATTGGAATCCAGTAAAAAATAATTAGAATCAGCATGAAATTACAAATAACGACAAATTACGTTAAAGTCTCGACAAATTTGATCCACCTTGCAGTATGTCAAATAACAAGAAATATCTAAAAATGATTTTTCCAAAGAACCGACGCAAATCCGATCGAATTCGACCAGCCATTTCTGTTAATTCGCCGTTTGAAATTCCGCCGGCTGTTCACTTCGAATCGCAATGTACACACGTTTCGTTGGAAATTTCACGGAGATAGATTCGAAAGTTCAAGCAAAGGTATCCATTTTAATTTCTCTTCAAACCTCCTTCGAGAGCTATTAACGTCCAAGCAGAGGCGTATTTATGGAAGGACCCGCTGCTTTATACAACATTGCGAGCCGTCTTTGTAGGCGCGTACGCGTCTGTGTGTTTCAGATATGATTACTCGATCGCGTTATTGGTCCTCCAGTACGTGATACCAATAACAGTCCTGATGTTCACGTACACGAGCATCGCTGTTGTGGTGTGGGGCAAGAGACCGCCGGGGGAAGCCGAAAATGTCAGAGACCAGAGGATGGCACGATCGAAAAGGAAGGTAAGCTATTACAAAGGCATTCCACAGCAGAGTTTCTGCAGAAAATAACAAGGAATTTATCGTTATGACGTTCTCGATCAATTTCTCCGAATCTTCTGTACACGGTTGTGCCTCTTTACTCGAAGATAGGAGGAACAGAGAGATCCGCGCATTTTTCCTCCATGATTGACTATCTCTTCCAACTTCTCGTTTGTCTGGACCAAGTTCCAAAAGCTTGGAAATAAAGAACCATTATCGGAATATATGGAACGTATTTTTCATGTTTGAATTTGATCGAAAATTAAATCGATAATTCCTTTTTCTTTGGTATTAAACGTATCATTTGGACTGAAATCTTTTTCATATTTTTCAATATTTAACGAGAATTAACGATCTTTGTGAAAAAGAGGAGAATTTGTACTGTGTTGTATTTTTCCTGCACACTTATGGAATTTGTGGGTCAATTTGATCCAAATTTACTGAACTTTATGAATGTCTATGAAAGATTAATTGAAAACAAGGTGAATAATTTTATTTAGTGCGTGAAAAAGAAATTGCAATACTTTTACATAAACATGATATTTATAATGTGAAATATAAGATATAATTATTGTAAATTGAATTGTTTCGTATGAAAAGAGAGATTGTCGAAATACATCAGCGCAAATCTCGCTTTTATTAGAAAAGAGATCCTCTTCCTTCCTCTCTACTTTTCTTTTCATTTGAGCCAAGGGCTGCATGATCTTAATAAAACGAGTAAGACATTTTTATTTCGCTCTGTCTCGTATACGTTTCTAAGAAATCGCGAAGAATATTTTCTGGAGGTATTTGATGTTTCGTTAATCTAACTCTATTACACTCGAAGACGAAACAAGAGAGGTGTTCAACGTCGAACAGCATAACATATAAGCACAATTCGATATTATTGCGAATTTATTGCAAAAATAAAGAAAAATGTCAATTTCACAGAGATAATTCTATATAAATTAGCACAATTTGCTTAAAACGAAAGTCAATAAATGTATCGTTAATTCGTATGAAAAGGAAGGATTGAGACAAATTGAATCGAAAATTTATTTCTGCAGAGTTCAAATGTCAAGTCCTTTTAATCCAATCCTTTCACCACGGGGAAAAAAAGAATTCTGAAAGGACGAAAAGCATTTTCCTTCCCCCTTTTTCAAGGGGCAATAAATCAGGAGAGATTTGCACGTATATTTCTGCAAAAATTACTGAACTTTCTACGCACAAATTTCCCCTGTAACTTGAGACGAAAGTTTATCGTGCTCGTAACTTCTAAGATAAGCTCATCTTGATATCGCAATACAGCATTTGCATCTAACGAGGACCACGATTGCCCTTTGTTCCTGCAAATAAATCTCCGTTGTCTTTGTTGCATGGGTAAAATTCAAATCGAAGCAAGAAACCGGAAGAAAGATGGTACAGTGTTATCAATTAAAATTGCTTCTATAAATAAATATAAATTATTGCTAAAATTTGACATTTATTATTAGAAATTGACAAAGGTGTCTATTTTTGTTTTATTTTGATTTCAATTATTCTTTCATGAAAAGCGTAATTTCCATTTTATTTTGATTCGAGTTATTCCTTCATGAAAAGTGTAATTTTCATTTTATCTTGTCACAGTGTCCACTGGTCAAATTACAGTTAATCATACAAATTAATTCCCGCTGTCAATTTATCTCACAAATTCACAGATATTTCAGTATCGACGGTAAAAGCTCGCTTTTCACTGAAAATTTTTCATCCGAAGTAACAGTAAACAGAGAAGATCGAGATATTGTTGAAAGTGTAACGAAGTTTTCCTGTCAAATTTTCCATTTTTGACCACCCATGTGGCGCCGCGCCGGTGGCGTAATTTTATCGGACTTTACATACTCGGCTTTAATCAAGTCAGGAAACAAAGTGAAGGTAATAGAATTTGCGAGAACGAAAAAGTTCCTCGGTGCTAAAGTACAACGCGTCGAAATTATCCGTCGCATGACGAGCCGATTTTAATCAATGCTAATTGCGGAACGGTAGCACCGTGCCGCGCCGATGAAATCATTCTGTTTCAAACGTTCGTGTGTCAAATAAATTGCAACAAACGTGAAAGACACGTGGGACTGTGATAAGTACATTTACCGTGGTCAGCAATTACAATTATTTCTCGAAGTTAACGATGTAACAATATAGGCACGTTAAAAAGCTGAAATTAACGCTTGTTTTAATCAGGTCGTTTATTTAAATGCCTTTTCACACGAACAAAGTAGAACAGAAAAAAGTTAAATAACTATTCCTCTTATCGACCCTTTAGTGACCAGACTACTTTTTTTTTTTTAAGAATTTATCTCTTATCTATCGATCATCAGATCTATATACGTAATCACTTCTCAAACTAAATTCAAAAATCACTTAATAAGCAATTACGTCTGAAGTGGATACTAAATTGAGATTAATTTTTGATGGAGTACGAGATGTATGCGACACAGTGGTCACGAAAGGGGTAAATTAAATCACAGACGAGGTTTCAGGATCACGAACTGAAGTAACGATCTAGCAAAAAATCAGAAATTTTATTACGTCCTCTACAATATACAGGATGCTTCATCAAACACGTTACAAACCAAAATTTACGAACCTATTAATGGTATCGAGATGATTCTTTTTTTTTAATTTAAGAGAAGAAAATGCAGTTTAACCGTCGAAGCTGATAAAGTCGGTAGAAACATTTAATCCTCCTTTGTTCGCAACGCTAACGAATATTACAAAAAGCGCGTGTATTTTCCCATAATTTTGGAAACGTTCGTTGAAAACTGGATCATCCTCCTTTGTTCGCAACGCTAACGAATATTACAAAAAGCGCGTGTATTTTCCCATAATTTTGAAAACGTTCGTTGAAAACTGGATCAAAGTCGGCTTGGCTTAATTTACTCGTTCGTACAAAGCTTCTGATTTCAACGCTATTTGCACGGTATTTTACATCTGAACGATTAGCAACTCGTTAAAGTAACCTATGGTTACAATCATTTCGTATAATGTCTACTGTGACACACAATGTAACCGATTCATCGCGCATGTTCGAATAATTCCACACGGGAAGAACGGAACAATTTGAGAATCGACACGGTGAAAAATAGACAGCTCACTCTTTGGTATATCTTATCTATGTTTTCCACCCGCACAATGTGTCCTCACGGTACAGTGATAATTTCGAAGCAATTGAATCCCGCGCTTCGGTTATCCAAATTAAACACGATAATGGTCAGACATTGAACAACCTGATATTAAAGCCAAGGAGAAAGCGAATACGTAATCACGTATGTCGTGAAGTAACGATAACGTTAATTGTAACAGAAATTGCGCAAGTGAACATCCTTGAGAGAGTGAGTAAACAGTGCTTTCACATATCGCAAATAGCCTGTTCTTCAATTTCACCTATTTTTTATTCCAATTTTACTTTTACAATTTTATCGTATCTCTTCGCGATTAACAACTACGAATCTCCATCTTCTTTCTTCTATATAACGCAAAAAAGTGACAGAATATCGTTTTTCTACGACACCGGAGGAATTTTCTTACACACAAATTCACGTCACGTTCTCTACACGAGAAGAGCGTTTCACTGTTGATAAACAGAATGAATCAGTTCCCGGCTTACACGATACAGAGATATCGCCCTCGAAATAAACGAAGGGGGAGGAGATACAGCCGTAAACGGAGCGTTTTAACGTGGATAAATCCGATCAAAGCGGGAACTGTTTTAAGGGAAGCTGTGCTCGAGTTGGACTGGCGATAAAGTGACGTTTCGCAAAATTCGCTCTGAAAATAAGCAGTATTCGTGGCGATAGATTTTACTTAGACCTCCCTTCTTCACTGCAAGTACTATAATCATATTCGAGCACTTGGAATGTTACTTCCCTGGCGAAGTATATTTTCCATTCCTCTGTAACGTACACTCACCATGTAATATCTCTGTGATTTGTGACCGTTTACACCGGCGTTCTTCTTCTCCCTGAAAGGCGCGAACCATTGTAATAGCAAGAATTTTTTGTAATATTGAAGAACTAGACAGGGTACAAGAACTCTGTCGAAAAACAAACGTTTTAGTAATAGTCACAAAGATTAGTCAAACTACTTAATTTTAACGTTGACTTGTAGTTTTTTAAAATAGAAGATTAGTAATAGTGTTCCATAAGTATTTCACACCGTTGCTTCATTTCTTCGAGTACAAGTGACATAATCTGATAAAGGAAATATATTTAGTATAATACTACGATTTAGCTATTTAGTTTGTAACTTACACGTTCGATACAAAAAGGGCTGCGATTAAACTGCGTCAATCTCAGGAAACCCTTGTATTCCATTTAACCCTTGCGCGTAAGGACTTTCTGCGTACGTTTTGAAAAAATAGTTGCCTCTCCTGTAATGTTAATTATATATTAGGCTAATAGGAACGAGTAATAGGTATAAAAAAGAAGAAGTAATGAAATTAAATTTAAAGGAATCTATTAAAAATTGGAGAAAAATTATACTAACGTATCGGGTGAAGTACCATAACCCATGACAGCAGTTTCAGTTTGGTTACATTCTCCTGGGAAGAAGACTAATGATCTTGAACAACTAGCACCTATGAACTCGTTGTTTCCCACTGATTCCGCGTAGAATACGTAGGATCTATGATGACTGCATAACTCTGCAACACGTTCAGAGAAGGAGCAATAAATCATCAAGGATAAGAGAAGAGAAAAGTGCTGGTGACATCGACTTCCGTTTCGTTTTATCCAGCAATACAATATCGTATCCTACTTCCTTTCTGAGATAATCGATCGATAGTGTTCATAATACTGCCGGGAAACGTACTATGCTATTTCCTTGTGCAATTTAGGGAACAAGTCTAGTACTACCGTTTTCAGGAAGAAGAATACGTGTAACGATCTTAAATCTCTTGGAAAAACGAATGGAACTATAAGTACAAATAAGTGTCTGCTATCGCACAAGTGATACCTACAAAAGTAGCTGAG